ATATGAAGAAGGGAAGACTTGATCATATTGACTTGAATTTAAACAGAATGGGAAGACTTGAGCATATTTTCTTGTTCAAAGTAAAACAACCAGTAAAGTCAGTTGCTCAAAATACTGGAAACAAAACCCAAGGGGAAATAAGGAAGAACAGGATTTAGAGCAGAGTTTTTGTTGCAAAGAGGTTTGGGACAGTTTTTATTCAGGAATGTAATAACAGGGAGAAATCCCTTCTACTAAGAGAGAAAATTTTGGCTTTTTTTTTTCTATTGGTCAACATTTATTCCCAAATACTGTTACTCAGTCTAACCATATTTATACAGAGAATCAATACATTGAAATCAGCAAGAAATACAGTAGAGTGTACATTCAATTATGTAGTTATTGAATTATCCCCAAAAGGGTTAATATTTCTGCCTAGCTTTTCTTATGAAAATTTTTTTAATTTATTTTTTTATTGGTTGTTCAAAACATTATAAAGCTCTTGACATATCATATTTCATACATTAGATTCGAGTTGGTTATGAACTCCCATTTTTACCCCAAATACAGATTGCAGAATCACATCGGTTACACATCCACATTTTTACATAATGCCCTATTAGTAACTGTTGTATTCTGCTACCTTTCCTATCCTCTACTATCCCCCCTCCCTCCCCTCCCATCTTCTCTCTCTACCCCATCTACTGTAATTCATTTCTCTCTCTTGTTTATTTTCCCATTCCCCTCACAACCTCTTATATGTAATTTTGTATAACAATGAGGGTCTCCCTCCATTACCATGCAATTTCCCTTTTCTCTCCCTTTCCCTCCCACCTCATGTCTCTGTTTAATTTTAATCTTTTCTTCCTGCTCTTCCTCCCTGCTCTGTTCTTAGTTGCTCTCATTATATCAAAGAAGACATTTGGTATTTGTTTTTTAGGGATTGGCTAGCTTCACTAAGCATAATCTGCTCTAGTGCCATCCATTTCCCTGCAAATTCCATGATTTTGTCATTTTTAGTGCTGCGTAATACTCCATGGTGTATAAATGTCACATTTTTTTAATCCATTCATCTATTGAAGGGCATCTGGGTTGGTTCCACAGTCTAGCAATTGTGAATTGTGCTGCTATGAACATCGATGTAGCAGTATCCCTGTAGTACGCTCTTTTAAGGTCTTCAGGGAATAGTCCAAGAAGGGCAATAGCTGGGTCAAATGGTGGTTCCATTCCCAGCTTTCCCAGGAATCTCCATACTGCTTTCCAGATTGGCCGCACCAGTTTGCAGTCCCACCAGCAATGTACAAGAGTACCCTTTTCCCCACATCCTCTCCAGCACTTGTTGTTTGACTTCATAATGGCTGCCAATCTTACTGGAGTGAGATGGTATCTTAGGGTGGTTTTGATTTGCATTTCTCTGACTGCTAGAGATGGTGAGCATTTTTTCATGTACTTGTTGATTGATTGTATGTCCTCCTCTGAGAAGTGTCTGTTCAGGTCTTTGGCCCATTTGTTGATTGGGTTATTTGTTTTCTTATTGTTTAATTTTTTGAGTTCTTTGTACACTCTGGATATTAGGGCTCTATCTGAAGTGTGAGGAGTAAAAATTTGTTCCCATGATGTAGGCTCCCTATTTACCTCTTTTATTGTTTCTCTTGCTGAGAGAAAACTTTTCAGTTTAAGTAAGTCCCATTTGTTGATTCTTGTTATCAAATTTTGGCTTTTTTGTGGGTTCTTGGCTACATCTAGGAACCAAAATCACACAAGACTGAATAACTAAAAAGCCTGCAAGTTTTATTAAGTTTACGTGGGCATAGGTATCCTCACAAGAGAGAAATCTGAAGAAATGAACAAAGCAAGATGCTTTTATATTTTTTAGAAAAAGAATAAATTTGTGAAGAAATGATAGGAAACTGGATTTCTGGAATAGAGTAGTAAATTCTAGGGATGTCACAAAGTACTGTGGGAGTGGAATATAAAAGCTAGTGGAAGATAGATGTTAAACTAAAGAATTTCTTTATCAGGTTTCCTATAAGAAAATTTGGGCAAATGGCTAGAGGTGGAGTAGAGCAATTTTGTAATGGAACAAGCCATTCTATATATTAATTCCACATGTCCAGATAGAAACTCAAATCCAAAGAAATATCTAGGAAATGATGAAGAAACTAAGTGAATGGGAACCTCAGTCTCACAACAACAAAAAATTGAATTGTGCCAACAGTTAAACCTGTAGGAAAGAACAAGCTTAGTTCTCTCTTGTATTACAGCCTTGTGAGACCCTGAGTAGAAGACTCAGTTAAGCAGTGTCTTGGTGGAGTAATTTAAGTCTCAAAGCCTGTGGAATCTCTGTACATGTCTAAGGGTTAAAGTCCTCTGAGCTCTTGGCATGCCAGAGATCAAGAACAACACACTGTTCTCAGGACACACTCTGCTGACAAGGTCAGACTTGCCACAAGTTCCTCTTGAGACTGCATTTCCCTGTGGCTAAACTTATTTTGAGAATATTCTTGTTGATTGGTTCCCCTTGGATTGTGCTTAATCAGTGGGCTTAGATCTAAGACAGAGATTAAGGAAGTGGCTTATGAACATTGCATTATTTTAGTGTTATTCTTACTATCTTGCTTATGTTAACCTCAAAGAACTTGCTGAACCATAAGGATAACGCAAGGGATATATAATGGCTGGGTTGCTTAAAATAAAAATCCTTAGCTTTCCACAGTTCTGAGTCCCCTGTGTCCTGTTTCTCATCTTGCTCAGTTCCTCAGCACCTATCTTCAACAGTTGTCTGTACTCCTGAATGAAATTATGATTGATAAATATATAGATACACAATTATTGTGTTAAGATATTAAGTTGTGATAACTTGTAACAAAGCATTATAAAATACATACTTTTAGCAACAAGCAGTTGGGTACTGCTGAACAAATACCTTGAAACATGGCAACATATTTGGAGTCAGGTGAATGCCTGGAGACTAGAAGAATTTGGAAGAGCATGAAAATTGAAATTACCTTGAATAGACTATAAATAGAAACCTAGATTCTAAAGTTGCTATAGAGAGGAACTATAGAAAAAAGGAAGAACTTGGAAAAAAAAGGGAGGAACGTGGCAGTGCAACCAGAAGAAAGGAGATTCTTGTTTTATGTAGTAGAAAGCCTGGAAAAATTATGTCCTGGGGTTATGTATACAGCAGAATTGATAAGCGATAAAATTGATTATGTAGGTAAGGATCCTCTAAGGCAAAATTTTGAAGAGGTCTCCTGATTTCTTCTTGCTGGTTTTAATAAAATGTGAATGGAGAGAGATAAATTAAGAAAGGAGTTATTAAACTAAAAGACAACAGGACTGCATAATGTTGAATTTCTGATTTTCTCTAAAAGACAAAAAACATTAGAATTAAGATATTTGGTCTTGAACTTCTGCTGGGTATGAAGCAGTGGTCTTCTTCATGCTTTGAACATAACCCTTAGTTCTCTACCAGTGCAGCTTATTTTTAAATTCTCTTTCTTTCTCTTCTCCTCTCCCTTCCTGACTTTGGGGAAGCAAGATTACCCTTCCTTCCATCCTAAGCAGAGTTATCTGTCCTTCATCACACACACCACAGGAATGAAGAAACAGAAGACCTAAGAAATGGCTATATTTCAAGGCCAAAGTGAATTATGACCACTGACAAGGAACACCTAAAATGAAGCCTTTGAATCACCTCTTTAAAAAGCCCTCTGTTACCCCTGAAGGGAAGAGTCACAGACTCTAGGATAGAAACCTCTGCCTTTCTCCTTTGCCTGCAAAGCAAAGAAAAATTCTTTTTCCTTTTTCTCAAAACCATGACTTCATTGTTTGATTGGTATGAGGAAAAAGGACTAAGCTTTTCAAAACATGTATGATTTTACAATATTTTGCTAAAACCTCAAAAATATCAAAAGGTTGGTGTAATCAGGTATATAAAGAATTCTTTCAAGAGAATAAGAATTTAACGCAGTACTATTAATCAAACCAGAAGCCTCAGAGGAAGCCTTAGGGATACCATCCTTTAAAAATCTAGCATAAGACCAATGAATAGGAGAGTTTATTTGAAAGTCACCTATGGATGTGGCTTTAGTCTGATGGAGTGGGGACCCAATGGAATATATCATAAGTTCTTGAGAATATTAGCAATAAGGGGACAGATAGATGAGAATTCTATAATATGGGCCCATGGTGCTGATCCTCCCACCACACATGCTTTCTTTGGCAAAAAGCAATCTGCCTAGTGCTTTACCTGGCCGGAATGAATAGCCTATGTCACATTCTTCAGTAAACTGAGGCATGGGGCAAAGGTCAGGCAGTCAGTGTAGGTAAGGAATGATGGTGGTCCAGAGGATGAGGACTGGCTATTACACAGAGGACAATGGGTTGTTAACCTCTATGATCATGCTTCTGGGCACACTGGGTTGCTAATAACTAACCCCCACCTCCCTGGTCCCAGGCACTTACATGGAGAAGAAAGAGAAAGGGAATTTGGGGGTCTAAATAAGAACAAGACACACTCCCTCCCATGGATACTCAGCTCCGGGGCCATGTCTCTTAGGAGAAATCTGTCTCTATCACTTTCTTAAATAAAATTTGCTTTCTAGGCTTGCCTTGGCAGTGCTCGGGTATTTAATCTTTAACACCAGGGAAACTCCAAGACCCATATCATTAGTACAACAGAGAGCCTGCCAGCTTGAACCCAAAGAGACACAGTGAGAACAAAATAAAAGGAGGCTATATATCCCTTTCACCCACCCCCAAATTGTACTGGCAGGAAGCAAGCTGACAAAACTGCTCAACTGTGAGAATTTATTACTTTCCATGAAAAAGGAGGGATGACTCAGAGGGCAGAACCAAGTGCCCAGGGAGCCAAAAGCAGAAGCCATCATTGCCCTCAAATCTGGAAACCCAATCCAAGAACTCTAACTACAGTTTCCTATCTGGATTTCAGAACCATCATGGCCTGTTGCTATGTCTCTCTGTCTACCCCAATTCTTAACTTCTTGTTCACCTACTTGTCTTTTTAAGTCCAAGAGCCTGTCTTCAGGTTGCTCCAGAGAAAAGTGCACCACCAAGAGCAGGTTCCTTGTCCAAGTGTGGGAGGCAGAGATTTCACAGCTGCAGTCAGTTCTGGGTTCTTTAGTGAGATAAGGGACTGAACTTTACCTCAGAGCAGGGCAATTCCCAGTTTTCCTTCCTCTAGTGGGAGTTTCTATCTTACTCATGTTTATTTCTTTAGTTCCAGACAAAGAACATTAAATATGTGGATGTTCAAGCAATGTGTGATGACTGAATAAGGAAACTAGTGTATCTGAGCTGCTTTCCTAAGGTGTCTTTGGGGGATGATAATGGCTATTTCAAGAATTGACTCGAGGAGCACAGGGGGTATAAGGCTGTTGACCCAGTTTCTTACCAGAAGGCTGATCTTTTCTCTGAAGGAGAGCAAAGGCATTTTTTAATGAGCAAGAGTTTTATTAGTCAAAGTCTGAGCCCAGGATTCAACAGTTACTATTGAGGGAGAACAAAATATCTGACTCAAAATACATATTGATTTTGCATAGTCTGAGTTGGTTATTCAGAGAGACTATAAATCTCTTAGACAAAGGCAGGACTCTGGAAAGCTTTCCTTTAGTAAAACAAAATCTATATCCAACTGCACTAGTAAAGTACACTCTGGATGCAGGTAGATGCTTTTGTATCTGATATCCCCTTCCTACCTCTGAAAGATCTTTTCACAGAAATAAGCGATTGGGAGTCTGGTACCAGGCCCAGACAGAGATTACCCCTGGGAAACTTCACATACATAACAAATTGACAGGCTCACTGTGCTCCTCCTTCCAGTCCTTCCAGCATGAATGTTACCCTCCCTTCCAGAAGTCCAGGCCTCCATTCCTTTGTTTAGCTTTGCATAAAGTTCATCCATCTTGCCCTCTTTGAGTCTCATACTTTGATATGGATTCCATGCTTAAGCATATTAATAACTTGTATGCATTTTTTCTCACAGTATGTATGTTACTCAATTATTAAAACCTTTGGAGGAAAAAGAATAAATTTAAAGCTTCCTTACACTACCTGTATATAGGAAGAAGGCAACCTAAGTAATAAGAAGCAGCTAGATGGTGTATGAATTTGTAGTGGCAGAGTATTATCTACATCAATAATAGTGGTGAGGACAAAATGAGATGACGTAGGTGACTCTCACCTAGTGCTTGGCCTGAAGCACATGCTCAAAATATGAATTCTTTTCTCCCCAGCACAGAATTGGCTTTGAAGATCAAATGTGTCACAAGAGGAGGTACTGGGAAGAATCATTCCAGCTACAATATTCTAAGAGTTTAATTTGAGAGATTCTCTGTGACTGCCAGAATCCTTTGGTTGTTGGGGCTCAGAGAATGACATTCCTGAAAAATGGCATTTTGGGCATGCTGAGCAACTTGATGTAGAGGGAGAAGCCCTCTCTGGAATTCTTTTTATCTGCATTAAGACCAGACTGCAAAAGGGAACGATTCCTTTTTATAGCCACCTTGAATTCCCATTATCTATCTCAAAGAGGACTGAGAAATATAACCACGTTTGCATGAAATTTCCTTACAAGATTTTGACTCATGAGCTCACTCAAAATTCAAAGACATGGTCCTGAGAGTACTTTCAAGACTAATAATAATTTATAAGCTCTCAAAATTATCTACCTGTCCCAACCTCTCCTTCCCTCATAGAAAATGGGATATGTAAGTTTGTGTGTAATGTTAAACAGGTGGATAATCATACTCCTATTATTGTCCCTCATGCTGTGATTTTCCCATTTTGCATGAAAATAAGTTCATATGCCTTTTCTCCTGTAATCTTTGTCTGTTTCATTCCAGTGATCGTCATGAGGGCGGAGGGGAAATTTCCCATTGCCTCTATACAGGTCTTGGGAGAATTGTCTTGTCCTCTTGTGCTGAGATGTGTACTAGTTCCTGTGTTCTCTGTTGCTATGCTGGAGTCCATGCATGATAGTCTGTGTCTGATTCCCCTGAGATTTCTTCAGAGTGAGAGCACACTGTATGTACATGGGAGGATTCTGTTAAGTGTTGTATCAAGTAATGAAGTTGGTAAAGCCCTGCCACAGTTTGACAATGTCCTCTAAGGCTGGCTCACCCCCAACACTGAAAACAAACTTTCAGTTTGATTTACAACTCTCATCTGAATTCCAGGAAATGCTTATTTAAAAATAAGGGTGAGTTTTGACACAGATGTGTTTAAGCTGTTTTCTCTAGGTGTTTTTGTTACTTGTTTTTCTCTTTCCTTCTTGTCATTTGCTAACTTTTTAGTTTCACTTGAACAATTCTGGTCTTTTTATGATACCTTGAAGGAAAGGGAATTCACGTAGACCTCCCCAGGGAAACTTGAGAGAGTCCTATGACCCAGGACCATAAAGGGGAGGACTAGGGTTGGGTAAGAGAGGCACCTGGGGGGACAAGGGAACCTGGTAGCATTTGCTCAACTTTGTACTCCTTTACAATAGAGTACAAATAGGGTACCTCACTTTTCTCACCCTATTTCCAGCCCTCTCCTGGCTCTGACTGAAAGCTTTGTGGATTGGCCAGTACATTTCCAGTCCATTGGTTAAAAAGTGAGGGACAGCTAAGAGTGCTAGTTCTTTTTTGCCCGAGATTTACCACTAGTCTTTTCCTTAAAGCTGGCTTACATGTTGTTTAAGAGGTTATTCTTTAAGGGACTCTGTTAACCTCTTGAAATCCAGAATGCAATGTTTGACAACAAAGAAAAAAAGGGAGAAGAGGAATGAAAATAAGATAATCCAAGGAAAGACGGAGAGAAATCATTTCCTACCTTCTGTGGGCTTCTCTCCCCACCTCTCAGGGCAGAGCCATCTGCAGTCTTTAGATTCTGCTTGCCAGAGTAAGTGTAGAGGAATTATATCCCCCATACTATGTACATTTGGAATGTTATCTATTTCAGCTGTCCAATAATATACCCACCCTGCTCAATTTAGAAAGCATGAAATTCTGAACAAATTCTTAAGTGGTGCCATTCTCACGAATGGGGCTCCTCTCTTATACTCTGCAAGGTTGAGTGGAAGGTGTGTGTTTCAATATATTTTAGCTACCTTCAAGTTCCAGAAAAACAACTTAGGCAACTAGTATCAGTTTGACCTACAAGACAGAGGTGTTATCTACAGTAAACCTAATTTTTATTTTTCTTTATAACTGAATAAAAATTCTACTGTGACTATCTATACCACATTTTCTTTATTCATTTATTCATTGATGAATACTTAGGCTAGTTCCATAATTTAGCTATTGTGAATTGTGCTGCTATAAATATGGGTATGCATGCATCACTGTAGTATGATGAGTTTCATTCCTTGTGATAAATACTGAAGAGTGGTGTAGCTGAGTCCTATGGTTGTACCATGCCTAGTATATGGAGGAACCTCCATATTGGGTTTCCATAGTGGTTGTACTAATTTATAATCCCATTAACTGAGTTAGTGTAAAAATGTTCAATAATTCTCCACATCCTCTCCAGCATTTATTATTATTTGTATTCTTGATAACTGCCATTCTGACTGGTGTGAAATGAAAACTCGGTATAGGTTTGATTTGTATTTCTCTAATTGCTAAAGATGTTGAACATGTTTTCATCTACTTGTTGGCTGTTTGCATTTCTTCTTTTGAGAAGCATCTGTTTAATTCATTTGCCCATTTATTAATTTGGTAATTTGGTTTGTTTTTGGTGTAAAGTTTTTGAGTTCTTTATGCATTCTAGAGATTAATCCTCTGCCAGAACCCCACTTTCAATAACTCATACAATTAGATAGAAGATTAATAAGGAAATAGAGGACTTAAATAGCACTGAAACCAAGACTTGACAAATATGCATACACACACACACACACACACACACAGCACTCCAACCAAGGACAACAAGATACAAATTCTTCTATGGAACACATGGAACATTCCAAATTAATAAAGAACAAGTAAAACTATTCTGAATAATTTTATGTAATGTAAAATTTATGAACAGTCTGTAATTAAAATTGGAGCTGATTTAATATAGTAGATAGTGTTGTATGAATAAGGACAGTGTTTGTGGTAGTTGTGGTGACAGCAAATATGTGCAAAATCAGTAGAAAATTATTGTTTAATGTGTCAGATAACAATGGAAGGTAACTATGATACATAAAACAGGATAATTATAAACTCAATAATGGGATGATAAAATGAAAGAAACCTCAATCAATACCACAAAGGTGGGAAAGAAAAAAATCCAAACGAAACAAGAAATCATGGATACACATAAAATGAAATGCCAGAAATAAGTCAAGAATTCCATTTCTAGCTATGTGCCAATATGTGCACACATACCTCAAGACACATCCTTGAGAATGTCCATGGAAGCATTATTCACAAACGTTTCAAGTTGCAAACAACCTAAATATCCATCCACAACCAAATGAGTGAATAAATTGTGGCATATTCATACAATAAAATGCTAATGCATGCATGAAAACAAACATCACAGCTATGTACAACAATGTGGATTAATATCAGAACATTAGTTGTGAGAAGAAAGACAAATACAAAAGAATATACATTGTATGGTTCCACATAAAAGAGGTATTAACATCTGGCAAAAATAATTTATAATATTCTCATCTTCTCACTGTCTCAGGACCCAAAGATAATCATCTTTGACTCTTCTATTTCCTTCAATCCCTACAACCATACACCACATATTCATAATTTTACATCTAAAAATATTTGCACATATTTATTGATCTCTTCCTAATTGATTTTGTTAGACAATGAGGTTGGAGAAATAAATAAGAAAAGATCTGAGAGGTTTGCTTGAAACTACAGTTTAGCAGCATAGAAAGGGTGTTATAATTGCAGGAAGATAATTGCATCAAACTAATATTAGATGAGGCTCCTCTCACCTCATTTTATAATTCTAGAGAGTAGGACCATCTGGTCAGGTGTTTATCTCCTTTTATATTTTGAGTTTCACATTTAAGACTTATTAATAATCATCATTGTGTCTTCCTTCTGGTCCCTAACCTCTTGACAAAACTAACTCTGTGTCCTCTAAATCCTGTTATTACTTACCTTTAGGTATTATTTTCTGTATCTAAAGTTTAAGATATCTCCAATGCCTTGTTTTCTGTTGTTGTACTTTGGACAAGAAAACATGATCCAGTCTTCCCATCCTATTTAAATGAAGATTGGATCATAACTATAAGGTTATAAATTTTTCAAAGTATTTGAAATGAACATATCTGTCTCAATGTTTGTTGATAGAATGAGTTGATGAATGTATATGGTCCACTTCTAATTGTTTAGTTTTGCCTCTGTCCTCATCCTTTTCTAGAAAATATTCCCTAGTAAACATGATACACACATCCAATTTACCAAGTCAGGATGTCTCTCCAAACTCATGGTAGGGAACTTTCTTTGTTCATTCTCTCTCCTTTCTCAGTGTCCTTCAGAATAGTGTGACTTTCAAGCAAAGCTGATCACATAGTAATATGGATTAGAGATTAGCAAAGAGGTTTTAAAAGTTCCAGATCTATTCTACACATATTTATTGAGGGATTTCAGTGTGCTAGGAAATGTTCTATGAGTTGTATGTTGAGGGATGAATAAGACATGCAAGATTCCAATCCTTAGGGAGTTTACATTTTCATAGGGGAAGCAGACCATGAGTAAACACATGAATAAGTAACATACTTTCAGAATATTTTAAGTGTTAAGAGAGGAATAAGCACATAATGGGCTATGAAGTAGCTGAAGACTGCTTTAGATTGTGTGATACAGGAATATAGCTTTGAGGAGTTGTGATTCTGCTGCTAATAATCATGGGATGCTTTAGGCTCCTCTTGCTTTTTCTAGGTTCTATCAAAGTTTAATTTGTCTCTGTCTCTATCTCCTGAGATCTTACTATTTATTTGGATTTGGAGCTGCTCTGTGGACTTAAATTAATTATATAAATCAGTTAATTTAGTTTGCAACATACCCTGAATTCCTGACCCTAGTTACATTTTTCTAGGAAAATTTTTGATGGGAAATCCATCAAAGGTTATTTATTTATTTATTTGTATTGGAGACTGAACCCCGGGATATTCAATATCTGAGCCATAGTCCCAGCCCTTTTATTTTTGGAGCCTTGCTCAGTTTTCAAGGTTGTCCCTTAACTTGCAGTCCTCCTGCCTCAACCTCCCAAATAGCTGGGATTACAGGCATGGACCACCACACCCAGAAATTCAACCAGTTTTGATGGAGAAATGTTGTAGTAGTCAACTTTTAAGTCTTGAGACAGTGATTTTCCTAGTTCTTCCATTATAACTCTATTTCATTATATAATGCATTGTACTCTATACAAATAGTCCTTGAGTCTATTTTCTCTCTCCCTTTTGTAGTTCATATTTCACATGGCATCCTGAAAATAACATTTAAATAATTTTTTAACAAAAAATTGAAAATATTAAACATAGGTTTGTGATAAAATCCAAATTACTTGGCCTTCATATTCAAGGCCAAGCTATTCCTTCATATTCAAGATCCCTCATAAACTAGCAGCAACTAACCTCTATAATTCTTTTTACAACCATTTTTTCCTTTTCTTACCATCTAGTTCATTCTCTGAAACCTTTGGAAGACATCCTCAGCTATTTTCCCACCATTTCTAGGTGTTCCTTGACTCTGCATATTATGTTTGCTGAGCCCTTCCCCACCTTCTCTGCCTGGGGCTCTGTACTCCTAGTTCAGTTCAAGTTTCTTTATATTTGTGAAGACTTTCATAAATCTTCTAGGTCAAGTTGATGGTTTCCCTTCAGTGATTGTAATAATCACACTTGCTAATCATGAGTCACACTAACCAGGTTATGCTTTACCCGAGCCCTTTGTTCCTAGAAGACAATGATGATTGAAAAAACCCATTTATCCTTTTATTTTTTAAAAAGGACTTACTGAAGTGAGTCTCATAAGGCTTAGATAAGACTCATGTCTTCTTTTTTTTTGGACAGAGCAGACATAGAGACTTTAAAACTCATTCTTTGTCGCATGAAAGATTAACTGAAATTTATCCACATATAGGTAGAAAATAAGCACATGTTAACTAGACCTCACATTAGGTAAGCTTCTCTTCCTCTGATCTTATGAAGGTTGACTTAGCCTCCCCTTTTCTCAATACACCGCATCCTCCTATGTCCTATACAGAATTAATGGGTAAATGAACCCTCACAAAAATATGCTGACCTCAGGGAAACATTCCTTCATTATTCCACTATATTCATAGCAGAACTTTCTAGCCTTGTTGACCCTTCCCCATAAAATAAAATACCTTTCTACTAGGCCTTTGAGATGTTTGTAGCTCTTATGTTTGGATTGTTCTCCCTATTGCATTATTCCCTTTGTTACAATAATCCTGTCAAATTAAGTCTCTCTTAATTCTGGGGTTGTTGTTGTTTTTTTTTATTTGATAATACAGATTATCAACTTGTTTCTCGACTATTGAGACTATGTACTCCCTCTTTTCTGAGATGCTCTTGGCATGTTTTAATCTTCTTTTTTATTTGGCTGTTCCCTATGACTATTTCCATCAATTTCTGTTTCCTTTTTAGTCTTTATTGTATCTCGATCTATCCCACCTTCTTCTTCACCCACTTGTCTCCTTGAGGCCAAGTTCCTGTCTTCAGGTTGCTCCAGAGAGACCTACATGGAGAGTAGGTTCCTTCCCCTACAGCTCAGGCTTTGACTTCTTATGTGAGAGAGAGATATGAATTCATTCTCATAGCAGGAAATAAAAGACTAATTTCACATTTCTGAAAAGTCTTATCATGATATTTTGTATTATTATGGTTCCTGGGTTTAAAAATTACTCAAGAAGTACACTCTTGACAAGACCCTCCATAAACCTAACCGACCAAAATCAAACAACTCAAAGTTCAGGCAATAAAGATATCTTAACAGTATTTGGGTCCAATTAGTCATAATCTTTGTTTAATGTGAAGTTCAAGACAGTAGTTTCCTATAAAAATGGTCTGATTTTGAGGCATAAGTTTGTGTTGTTATCCTAGCAACAAATCATAGAAACCTGGAGACCCATTAAAAGAAATATAAACATTAGAAAATCTTGGGATGGTCAAGTTTGTCATCTAGTATTCAGGATACCTGCAAACACCTGTTAATTGTTCCTATAAATATATCTTGAGTTCCTTCCCCCTAAGAATTTTCTTAATGTATTTGAGTCAGTGTCTAGAGAAACAACATTACCAGCTGTGTTTTAAATTAAGTTTTCTGTAGTGGTCAAAACCAGAGGCAAGAGAATTGCCACACTGCTTTCTTCAACACTGCACACAAGCCCCCAAAATGGGTAAAGAGGAGATCTAAAGCTAAGTTGTGTGACATTTGATTGAATGTTTTTCTGTTCTCATCCACCATTCATAGAGTGGCTTCTACTTGTGTGAACCCTTGTGAGGTCCGATTAGCTATGAAATTCAATATTTTTCTCAATTTACTGATGAACTTCAAATTCCATACAACTTGCACCCCACTACTGACAAGAGTAAACACTCTTGCAATTCCTTTCTCTGTGGAAATTTTCTTATCTTTTCGAATTTGGTATTAATATCAGTTGTTGAATACTCTGGCTTTGATTATGAGAAGTATTATGGGAACTTTCAGAGAAAGCTATTCCAAAGTCAGGAGTGAGCCAGGCTCAAATAGAAAGATTGGAAACCCAGGAGGCAGAACAAAGTAATTCTCTACAAACCCAATATAGTGGCTGGGAAACAGGGCCACCTAGTGGCAGTTGAGCAGAGTTCATTTAAATTTATTCACCTCTAAGTCTTGTTTAGCTTCTGAACAAGGTTCAGTGGGAAACTGACTTTTTTTCTGACTTTGATGTAAGGGTGATAAATCACATTTATGGAAAAAGATATTTCTGGATTTAGTATAGTAACATCATACTTAGACCCACATAGATATCCCACAGGATGACTGGAAGCACAATATACCTTTTGCTGGAATCTTGTATCCAGCAAAATTAAGCTTCAGATTTGAAGATGAAATAAAAATCTTCCATGATAAACAAAAGTTAAAAGAATTCATAGCTAGAAAACTGGCACTACAAAATATCCTTTGCAAAATATTTCATGAAGAGAAAATGAAAAACAACAATGAAAACCAGCAGAGGGAGGTAGTACACTAAAGGAAAAACTAATCAAAGAGGAAAACCAAGTCAAGTTAAATAACAAAAATAAAGAAATATGGCTAGAAATACAAACCATGTCTCAATAGTAACCCTACATGTTAATGGCTTAAACTGACCAATCAAAAGACATAGGCTAGCAGATTGGATTAAAAAAGGATCCAACAATATGCTGCCTCCAGGAGACTCATCTGATAGGAAAAGACATACACTGTGTAAAGATGAAATGTTGGGAAAAATCATACCATTCATATGGACTGCGAAGCAAACAGGGGTTTCCATATGCATGTCAAATAAAGTAGACTTCAAGCCAACTTTAATCAAAAGGGATAAAGATGGACATTACAAACTGCTCAAGGGAACCATACACCAACAAGACATAACAATC